TTGTTCTTCATCTATATATATGGTTAGTAATAATACCTATCTCACAGTTATTGTAAAAATTAACTAATTTTATGTAAAGTACTTAGAAGAATAGCTGGCATATAATAAGCACTTGATATATGTTATCTATCAGAATTATTATCATTACCATTACTGTTTGAGTAACAAAACAAAACAAAAAACCAAACCCATTGCCATCCAGTAGAATTGTCCCATAAGGCTTCTAAGTCTGTAAATCTTTATGGAAGCAGACTGTGACATCATTCTCTCATGGAGTGGTCCTTTTGATTAGCAGCCAAGGACTTTAAGCACTATGCCACCAGGGATCCTTAAAGCACAAGAACAAGTAATATTTCTAAATAATTTAAACCCAAGATTTTAGAGAATAGTGACTATTAAAAGCTCTATTTTGAAAAATTGTTTAAAAATATCTTAAAATATAAAATAGGGTCAATGGAAAGTAAACTTGACTTGGTAATTTTGTAGGCATGTGTCTGTTTATGTAGGTTTTGTATATTATGTGTTCTACTACTTCCAAAAAGCACATGCATTTGTTTACAATAAATATACATCAATAAAGCCATTAAAATAGAAATGTTGTTGTTGTTAGGTACTGTCAAGTCAGCTCCAACTCATAGAGAGCCTATGTACAACAGAACGAAACACTGCCTGATCCTGTGCCAGCCTCACAATCCTTGCTGTACCTGAGCCCATTGTTGCAGCCACTGTGTCAATCCATCTCTTTGAGGGCCTTCTACTTGTTTGCTGACCCTCCACTTTACCAAACACGATATTCTTTTCCAGGGAATGGTTCCTTCTGACAACATGACCAAAGTAAGTGAGACAAAGTCTGGCTATACTTGCTTCCAAGGATCATTCCAGCTGCACTTCTTCCAGGACAGATTTGTTAGTTATTCTCGCAGCCCATGGTACTATCAGTATTCACCATGGTACTCTCAGTATTCACCAACACCATAACTCGTAAGCATCAACTCTTCTTCTGTCTTCCTTATACATCGTTCAGCTTTCACATGCATATGAGGCGATTGAAAACACCATGGCTTGGGCTAGGCCCACTTTCTTCTTCAAAGAGACATCTTTGCTCTTCAGCACTTTAAAGAGGTCTTTTGCAGCATGTTTGCTGTGCAGTATGTCATCTGATTTCTTGAGTGCTGCTTCCATTGGTGTTGATTATGGTACCAAGTAATATGAAATCTTTGACAACTTCAATCTTTTCTCCATTTATTGTGATGCTGTTTATTGGTCCAGTTGTGAGGATTTTTGTTTTCTTTATGTTAAATGTAATCCATACTGCAGACAGTAGTCTTTAATCTTCATCAGTAAATGCTTCAAGTCATCTTCGCAAACAAGGTTGTGTTATCTGCATATTGCAGATTGTTAATGAGTCTTCCTCCAATTTTGATGCCATGTTCTTCTTCATATAATCCAGCTTCTTGGATTATTTGCTCAGCATAGAGATTAAATAAGTATGGTGGAAGTATACAACCCTGACATACTTCCTTCCTGATTTGAAAGTATGCAGTATTCCCTTGTTCTGTGTGAATGACAGGCTTCTTCTGGTCTATGCACAGGTTCCTCATGAGCACAATTAAATGTTCTTGAATTCCCATTCTTCTCAATGTTATCCATATTTGTTATGATCCACACAGTTGAATGCCTTTGGAAAGTCAACAAAACACAAGTAAACATTGTTCTGATATTCTTTGCTTTCTGTCTGACATCAGCAATGACATCCCTTGTTCCATGTTCTCTTCTGAATCTGGCTTGGATTTCTGGAAGTTCCCTGTCAATATACTGCTGCAACCATTTTGGAATTATCTTCAGCAAGATTTACTTGCAGGTTATATTAATGATATTGTTTGATAATTTTCACATTCTATGGGATCATCTTTTTTTTGGAATGGGTAGAAATATGGATCTGTTCCAGTGAATTAGCCAGGTAGCTATTTTTCAAGTATCTTGGCATAGATGAGTAAGTGCCTCCAGTGCAGAATCCATTTCTTTAAACATCTCAGTGGGAATCCTGTCAATCCCTGAAGCCTTGATTTTCACCAATTCCTTCAGTGCAGCTTTGACTTCTTCCTTCAATACCATTGGTTCTTATTATATGTTACCTCCTGAAATAGATGAATAATGACCAATTCTTTTTGGTACAGTGACTGTATTCCTTCCATCTTCTGTTGATGTTTCATGCATCTTTCAATATTTTGCCCATGGAATCTTTCAATATTGCCACTTGAGGTTGAATTCTTTCTTCAATTCTTTCAGCATGAGAAATGCTGAACGTGTTCTTCCCTTTTAGCTTTCTACTTCCAAGTTTTTGCATGTTTCATTATAATAATTGTCTTTGTCTGCTCGAGCTGCTCTTTGAAGTCTTCTGTTCAGCTCTTTTATCTTGTCATTTCATCCATTTGTTTTAGCTACTCTCCGTTCTACAGCACATTTCAGAGTCTCTTCTGGCATCCATTTTGGTCTTTTCTTCCTTTCCTGTCTTTTTAATGACCTTTTACTTTCTTCATGTATGATGTTCTTGATGTCATCCCACAATTCATCTGGTTTTCGGTTATTGGTGCTCAGTGTGACAAATCTATTCTTTAGATCGTCTCTAAAGTCAGGTTGGATACATTCAAGGTTATATTTTGGCTCTCATGGGCTTATTTTAATTGTCTTTAGCTTCAACTTGAACTTGCATATGAGCAATTGATGGTCTGTTCCACAGTCATCTCCTGGCCTTGTTTGGGCTAGAGATACTGAGGTTCTCCATCCTTCTTTCCACAGATGTAGTCAATCTGATTCCTGTGTATTCCATCTGGTGAGGTCCACATGTATAGCCTCCATTTGTGTTGTTGAAAAGGATTTGCAAGTCTTGCAAAATTCTGTAATGTGATCTCCAGTGTCATTTCTATCACCAAGGCCACATTTCCCAACTACTGGTGATTCTTCTTTGTTTCCAACTTTTGCATTCCAATCTCTAGTAATAATCAATACATCTTGATTGAATGTTTGGTAAATTTCAGACTGCAGAAGTTGGTACAAATGTTAAGTTTCCTTCTCTTTGGCTTTTGTGGTTGGTGTATAAATTTGAATGATAGTAGTATTAACTGGTCTTCCTTGTAGGTGTATGGATATTGTCCTATCATTGACAGCATTGTACTTCAGGATAGATCTGGGAAACATTCTCTGTGATGATGACTGCCACATCGTACCTCTTCAATTTGTCATTCCTGGAATAGTAGATCATATGTTTATCTGATTCAAAACGGCCAAAAGCAGTCCATTTCAGCTCAATAATGCCTAGGATATCGATTTTTATGTGTTACATTTCATTTTGGACAACTTTCAATTTTCTTAGATTCATACCTCATACATTACACGTTCCGATTATTAATGGTTGTTTGCAGCTATTTCTTCCCATTCTGAGTCATGCCCCATCAGCAAATGGAGGTCCCCAAAGTTTTATTCCATCCATGTCATTAAGGTCTACTCTACTTTGAGGAGGCAGCTCTTCCCAGTTGTATTTTGAGTGCCTTCTGACCTCATCATCTGGCATTACATCAGACAATGTTTCAGGGCTATTCATAAAGTTTTCCAGTAAAATATAACATATTACATAAAATAAAGTGTTTCACTGCTATTGGTAAAGTTTTCACTGGCCAATTCTTTGAGAAGTGGGTGGCCCCTTCCTTCTTCCATGTCTGTCCTATTCTGGAAGCTCTGCTGAAACCTGTTGACCATGGGTGACATTGCTTGTATTTGAAATACCGGTGGCATAGCCTCTAACCTCACAGCAACATGCAAGCCACTACAGTACAACAAACTGTCAGAGGAGTGATGGTAAAACAGAAAGAGGAGTGAATATTCCCAGACATATAGAAATAGAAATAAAATTCACCCCTTCCTCCTGTTTTAGAGCTGGCCAGCTATCAAGAATATGATAAATTTTGAAAGCAAACTGTTTTCAGTTTGGCACTCAGATTAAAGCTAATTTATGATAAGTCTCAGATCTTAATCGTCAAAACGGAGATGGGTGAATTACTGTGCCGTCCCAACCGGGAAACTGAATATTCTTGAGCTCAATGCCTGTATAGCAAGATATCTGGCATCTTGATGATTATGCCTTCAAGAAAAATAAAGGAACAAGCTTTGCACCAATGAGGGTATTTACACAGAAAGCTGTTTAAAGAATATTGGTGATCTTTCTTCAATGCCTGGGTTCAGAACTTAAAACACTGAGAAATTTTGACCCAGATATTTCTACTGGCGTTGAAACTATACACATACACATACACCCCCACTCTCCGCCCCCACAGTGTTGGTCAGGAGAAAAGCAGCCGCAGAACTTCAGAGAGCTACGGACATGGTTCAGCAAGCAGCCACAGATGGAAGATCTGCCTGGCCTCGGAAGTGTTTTAACCACCATTGTCTCTGTGTGTCTCGGTGGTTGATGGCAGCACACGTCTGTTCAGTAGGGAACTTCCCGGACCAATGCCTGAGGAGACCGGGTGCGCTTGGAGACAGGGCAGTGGGAACTTGAGACAAAGTGGAAGGAAATAGAGGATGTGAGTTCGTGGTGGTAGCAGCAGCGCCTCGGGATGCCCTTGATCCTGGAGCCCTCCCCTGGACTGCGGGATGGAGTGAATCAGGTCGAGGAACGTGAGCACCTTCCGGCTTCTGCTGCAGCCGCGTGGGGCGCCCCGCCTCGCCGCCTCCTCCCCGCCACGGCCCGGGGGAAGCTGCGAGTCAAGCTCGGGACGCCAGTCACCCCGGAGCTGCGGCGCGGCAGGACCTGGGCTGCGTCCAAGCCTTAAGGGGCGCTAGCACCCCAGCCCCAGCACCCCCTCCCGCGGATCAGAGCCCCGGCAGCCGTCGGCAGGGGGCGCGCCGGAGCTGTGCCTGCTCTCGACCACAAGTTTGGCTCGCGCGGCCAAGTTGGAGAGTCTGGGAAAGAGGGACCTGCTTCTCTCTCCATCTGTGCCGGCATGGACCGACCGAGGGCGGCGCCCCACCTCTGGGGGTGGCTGGTGTTGGGCAACTGCCTCCTAGCCGGAGCACAGGTGAGAGGTTCCCGGACAGACAGACAGACACACCCTGCCCCTGGAGGGCGTGGGAGGCATTTCGTGGAACTGCAACAAGGTACTTTAAGCGAGTAATGCCCCGGGACGGGCGCCGTTCTCGGACCCTCATCTTGGCATCTACAAGCGAAGAGAATATTTATTAACGAGGTTCGGGATCAGGGTTCCAGGGCTGAGAGGTGAAGGAACTTTTCTTACGCCTTGGTCACAGTTTAAATAATCCAAATTATTGTTATTATGTGTTTCTTGTCTGCTGGCAATTTACCCTTACTTTTGGTATCTTGACTTGTGGGGTCGACTGTGACTGCTCTCTGAAAGGATAACTGGCATTGCCTGATACATCATAAAAGCTATCATTAAAGCCAGGAGATATACAGAAAAGTATGTCCTGTTAAATAAAGGCCAGTTGTTGCCTGGTGCTAGTGTCAGGCAGGGCAGTCTGCTTCCGTGGAGATTTACTGCCTCGGAAACCCGAAGGGGGTCCCTGTGAGTCGGAATCCACTCGATGGCAGTGAGGTTGGTTGGTTGGTTGGTAGTATCAGTGGTTAATGTGCGTGGTTGCTAAGTGTAAGGTTGGCAGTTCGAACCTACCAGCAGCTCCGCGGGTGAAAGATGTGGCAGTCAGCTTCCATAAAGATGACAAACCCTTTAGGATAGTTCTACGCTGTCCTCGAGGGTCGCTATCAGTCAGAATCAACTGGACTGCAACGGATTTAGTATCTGTTTAGAGATTTTCTGGGTGGTCTTTCACAATGGAACCTCTTCAATGTGCAAGGTGAAATTCATTCGCACATTTTTCTGGAGTCAAGTAAAATGTAAAGTTTACACAAAGCTTTTCAGATGAAGTAGAAAGAGATATGTAAAGTGAAGGTGTTATGCGTTTTAAGAACCCAGTCGTTACGAGTTGGAACGGACTGATGGCGTTGGGTTAGATTTTTTTTTTGGGGGTGAACTTAAACTGGATTAGTGTTATTTTCGCTTTGTTTCGGTAGGAGGCGTACTTTGACCATCAAATGAAGCCCCCGGTTTTTTGTTTTGTTTTGTTTTGTTTTTTTAATTTCACCGTGAGAAAATTGAGGCACTGATTTATGTACTGATATTATCTAAACTTAATATTATGTTCTTGGCTTTCAGATGATCAATTTAAATTCGCTAATTTTAAAAGTACAATTGTTGTTTAACCTAAATGCCATAGCGTTACTATATAAATCACAATTTTAAGGAGGTTGTTAGGAATCAGGTGCCTTGCTAAGTACTTGGGCTTTACCCATTATGACCAGGATGTTTCAAGTAGGTATATTCAGTAGGGGGAAAAAAAATGAAACAATATATGTGCCCTTCATTGGCCAAGAAGACTAGCAATAGGTATTTGGAAGTAGGGTATACTCATTGTTCTTTTAACCTGAATTTTTCACCAAATTAATAGAAGGAATATGAAAGCATGGAATAAAACCCAAGAATTTGGTGATAAATTTCCACAGCAGTTATAGAAAGCTGATGAATTCTAATGTGTCTCCTATATTTTTATATCATAAGATAATATGCTTAAAAACACCACTTTCTGGTATAAGGTGGGAACTGAATTCTAACACTTCCTTTCTTCAGTGTGAGCTTACTTTTTCCAAGGAAATGGAAATGATTTAGTACAACAAAGAGAGAAGTCTCTATGGGATTATAGGAAGAATATTTCCTTTTCTTTTAGCTTTCAATAAAACATCACCACACTGAATTATTTTTTCCTACAATAACTTTAATTCAGGGTTTCTCAGTCTTAGCTCTATTGATGTTTCAGGCCATAGACTGCTTTTATTTTATTCTTTAAACCTTTTTATTGTGTCTTGGGTGAAGGTTTACAGAGCAAGTTGGTTTTCCATTCAACAATTTTTACGCATTTTGTTTTGTGACATTGACTGCAATCCCCGCAGTGTAACGCGCTCTACGACTTCTTCCCGGTGGTCACTGTTTCCGTTCACTCTTCTCTCTTACGCCTTCTGAGCTTTATCTCTGGGCAAATGCTGCCCTTGTGATCCCATGTGGTTGGTTGTTCTGAGTGTGTATCTTTCTGGTGTTATTGTTCACCTCATAGACCTGTCTACTGTTTGGCTGAAAGTTGAGCTATGGGGTTTGCGTTTGCTTCCAGGCTTCAAGATTGTCAAAGGGCCATAATCTTGGGGGTTCTTGCATCTCTGTCAGATCAGTACAGCGGGTCTCTTTTATGATTTTGAGTTTTGTTCCACATTTTTCTCCCACTCCATCCAGAACCTCCTACTGTGATCCCTTTCAGAGCTGTCAGCAGAGGCAGCAAGGTACCATCTATTCATTCTGGTCTCATGGTTGTGGAGACTGGGGTTGGCATTGTCTTTCAGACTAATTGTTTCCATGTATCTTTGATTTTTTTTTCTCATTCTTCTTTGCTATGGATGGGGAGAGATCAATAGTTGCACATTATGTGGCCTCTCACAAGCTTTTTTTTTT